TGCTAGTTTTCTTAGTGGCCTTAGTGAGGAGTTGCAGGCTTTTATTAACATGTTTGAACCCTCAACTCTACAACAGACAATAGAGTTGGGTAGAGTTGAGGGTTCAAACATGTTAATAAAAGCCTGCAACTCCTCACTAAGGCCACTATAAAACTAGCAATAAAATAATCTTCAGAGAAGTCACCACCATTAAACATTAACATACAAGACTTCAGCTCTTCAAACTTCTCTACATAATAAGTATAAGAACATGTGTGTTTCAACTTGTTAAATTCCCCAATGACTTTAGCTTCTTTGATCTCCTCAAACCTAGAGGATATAATATCCAAAAATTGTGCCCAGGAGATGTCTTCAAATTTAGAGCTAAAAGTTTGAAACCATTGTGCAGCTCTTCCTTCAAAGTGCATAGAGGCAAGGATAACTTTCTGGCCATCATGAATGTTGGGTATAATCCTGAAATACCCATTACACTTAAGAATCAAACTCCTTGGGTTTGTCCCATGAAACTTGGAAAAATCCAGCTTAGGCAAAAGATTTACAAAATTAGCCTGCTGAATAGGATTATCCCCTTGCCAAGGTGTTCTGGAGAACTGTGGCCTGAACTGAGACCCATTTTTTGAATGTTGCTTAACAGCAGGGCCCAAAATGGAGTCTTCTTCCTCATGTGATTTTCCTTTTGATATGTTCATCAGTTGCAGTTGGATAGATGCTAAAACATTTGCCATGTTATCATACTTTCCATCTAAGCTGTCTATCTTATCATGTAGCTCAGTGTTGAGTGTTACCATCTTGTCCTGCAAGTTAGAGCTTAGCCCAGACATTTGCTCCTGCAATTTGAGCTCGATCGATTCTTTTTTCATGGCTTTTGTCTGTATAATCTGATCTAATTTCTTTTGGTTTTCTTGCAGTTCCTTAAGGCGTGTATTTTCAGCCATACTGAGGATCAAAGGCTCTGATGATACCAATTGTTAGGATTTGCTAATTTCCCTGTAATTTTATATGTTTAATTTCTGTAAAGAGATACTTGGGGAGGAAGGTAGAAGAGAATTGAGAGGGAGAATAGATAGGAAGAGAGAGAGAGAGAGAGAGAGAGAGAGAGAGAGAGAGAGAGAGAGAGAGAGAGAGAGAGAGAGAGATAGAGAGAGAGAGAGAGTGAGGAAGAAAGATTAAAACATGAATTCAACATATTCCTTTCATCACATGCGAGGTGATATATAATCTATTACAACTTTTGCCCTAATTCCCAAATAACCCTTACTAGAACAAAACATAATCTGATTCTCAAATGAGATATAATTGGCTAGCCCAACTATAAAGCCAAATAAAGATATAACTCAAAATAATGTCAAAGCCCAACTATCCAAAAGCCATAAACTTACCCAAACATAGATAAACCAAAAATCCCAAATCTTCCTTGTATATTCACCGTAACCCTAGCCTCAATCTGCAAACCACATCATCCCATCTTTTTCGGCGACCCTGTTTCCCTCTTCAACCTCCAAGTTTCTCCATTTTTCCTTCAAGACCAAAACTTTCCCATTTTCTTTCACTTTAACAACCTTGTTTGGAGTTGACTCGATCTGTCTTTCATTTGGGATCATGACAGAATAGTGATTTTTTAAATAAAATATATAACATTAATTATTTATTTACTTTGTGTTACTGAATTATTTAGTGAAAAAAACTATAATGGAATGAATAATATTTCCTGTAAAAAAATTTATCATTTTTATTTCAATGAAATAAATATCAAGTCAATTAACCAAGATGAAAAACAAGATTGGTATCCTAACACATAATTTTTCTCACCATATTAAAATCTCTTTAATTATCCAAATTAATGCATTAGTCCAAATAAGAAGGATCCATGATAAATTCACAACTTCTAAAAGAAAAAATAAAGTAAAACCAATTAAAATTTATAATAATTGCACAACCCAAATAATCAATACAAAAACTACACCAAAAAAGTAAACACATAATATCGGTACAAAAATATACAATAATTGAACCCACAAACTCGCATGGGCCAACCCGCTTAGGCTTGTCCTTTAACGGGCCTTAAAATGGGCAACCCACCACATTCCCTAACCAAAAAGGTTTACTATTTTTTCCACCCTTCTCCTTTTATACCTTTCTCCTCCACTCAAATTGTATTTCAAGAAATGCTATAAAGTCAGTAAGTACTAGCTAGGCGGGGGACTGGGCCTAGCGCCTAGGGCGTCTAGGCGAAATCAAGAAAATACTAATAAATTTATATATATTTTCATCATGCGTAATTTATAAGATATATTATATAAAACATATTAATTATTATGGTCGAATAAAAGATCATGCAAAATCTAATACATTCATAATTATTTTGTTAATTATGAAATAATTATTTATATTTTAAATATATAATTAATATAAATTTCATGTATAAAACTTAGAACTATTTCTTTTTCTTCAAAAAGTATTAAAAACTTAGAAAAAAAAAAGAAATAAGCAGGTGTGTAAACGTCCCCGAAACGCTTAGGCATCCCCCTAGACACGAGTACTTTCACAGCCGCCTAGCTTGCCTTGGCGCAACATCGTCTGCACCGGCGTTAGCTACCTAATCATTAGGCCCATAAAACGACTATCTAGGCAAAAATCGTGGTGCCTTGATACCACCTAGTGCCTAGGTATTGTCTAGCGAACACTTAGATTGACTTTTAATTAACATGTTCTAAGAAAGGGCTATCTAAGGGCATCTTTAGTAAGATGTTTTGGAGAGACTTAAAAACACAAGCGATGGTTACCACTATATAGTGAAGATGGTTGAGGTTTGCGTTTTTAAATCACATATGAGATTTCAAACCTCACATAAACTCAAAGTGGGTATTTAAAAATAATGAAAAGATAGTAAAAAAGATTAAAGTAATAATTTTAGATAAAATAAAGGGAAACATGTAGGACCCGTATAAAACAAATATGTGAGTTTTATTGTTATTAGAGAGTTGGGGTGTAAGAGTAATAAGATTAAGGTTTTGGGTGATGCAGTGCATGAAAAACTTTAAAAAAAAGAGAGATTTAAAAGGTTTTGTTATTAAAGATACTCAAATAAAAATTTGAATAAAATCCATTATTCTAAAAATCGGCCTAGGCGGTGCCCGAGCGCCTCCGATTTGCACAAATCGGCAGAAAAAATCGATCAAGCGGCTAGGCGGCACCTAGGCGGGCCTAGGCGACTCTAGGCGCTCATAGGCGGACTTGGCAGGCTCGGCGGCCAGGAGGTTCGGCGGCGCCTAGGCGGACCTAGGCGCTCCTAGGAAGGCTCGACGACAATTTTTCAGTTTTTTTTTAATATTTTTTAATTCTAGTTACATTATTTGTTCTCATATTTTTTTATAATATATTAATATTCTTATTTGGACTTAGGTATGTCGATTTACTATAAATTGAAATAATTTTATTTTGTAGGTAGTTAAAATAAATAATAAATAATGTAATTAATATTGATTTCTATGTCGAATAGGCGTCGCCTAGACCCTGCATAGGCGCTCTAGGCTCTAGTCGAGTGTCTAGCCACTTTTTGACGCTAATAAAATCGAATTATCCAATCCAATCCAATCCAACCTTCCAACCTATATATTAATACAGAACGCGTTGAGCCTACGTGGCTGCTTCTGGTGTTTCAGAATCCTATGTGGCAAAATTACATGCTTCGTTATTAGGCTTGGATAAATTTTAATTTAATTTCAAACCAAAAATATTTGGTTCGGATTACCATAAATATGTTGATTATTTATGGTCATGTTACATGCTTTAATTGCATTTTAATATCATTTCTTATTATAACTATTGAATCGTATATGTGTTTTAAAAGTTAATAATTTTTGTATTTTTTTATCAGTTTTACATATGTAATATATCAAATTAATCTTCTTTTGATGAGCTCCGATTTAACATCCATATTGTATGTATAAAAAATAATTTATATTTATCTTCATAACAGTAATAAATTATTTTTCATCTTAATTAGAAAAATAAAATTATTTATCAACTAATATATATATATATTTCAAGTAGTTATATGATATAAGTTATAAAAACTAATATAATATAACACATGTAAGTTATAAGTAACACATATCATTTTAAAATATATAGTAATATTTTTTTTTTTCAAAAAGTAAACTAAATTTAATATAGTTTTCTCATTAATTTTAAAATTTAAGAATAATTTTTTAACAAGCACTCGTATAATACAGGGTGTTGTACTAGTTCTATTGAAAAGAAAACTAGCCACTTTTAGAACACTATAAAATCAAATTATTCAATTGAAAAGAAAAGGAAAAAAATAAATAAAAATTGGAAAGTCCCAAGGCAAAAAAGGTACCGAAGTTGGTAAACACAAACAAAATAATTCAAATTTCACTCTTCAATGAGCACCTTTTGGTTGTTTTATTTATTTGGTCGCATTAATTTTTTTTTTTAAAAAAAAAGTAAAAAAGAAAAAGAAAAAGGTAGCAGAAGGCAATGAATGCTGCAACAGTTACCGTTCAAAATTCAAATACGAGACATTTCCCCTTCGTGTAGAAAAGAAATTCACTGAGACATCACATATACACACACCAAGGTCATTATCGTCTTTTCACACTTCCACGCATGCATTTGTAGGTTCCGCCACTATACCCCGCACCCGCAAAACCCGACCTTTTTCTTTAATCCCCTTCTCTCTCTCATTATTATATTTATTGGAGATGTTAAGGTTTCGTTACGGAACCATTCTGAGATTTATAATGGTTAAATCAATTATCTTCTACGATTATATGATGATTTAACGATTTCAAATCCGACGATCCGTAACGGGACCTTAGCATTTTCCTATATAAAATTATATTATATATACAGTACAGAACATTTTCTCACACATCCCTCAATCCCCCCAAAAAAAAGACTCCATTTTTATTTTTCCGGTCTTCGTTGAGAGAGAGAGAGAGAGAGAGAGAGAGAGAAAGGGTCAAAAATCAAGAATGGTAGTGGACGAATTCATGGTGTGTGTGGACAAAATCATAGCATCTGCAGCATGTTTTCAAGAATCATCGACAACATCGTCGTCATCTACGAACGGCGTTGGGGGAGAAGAAGCTATTGTTGCAGCTGTTGATGTTGTCCGAGCAAATGGTGATACGGGTGCTAATAAAGATGGGATCTTTCGTAGTGAGGGTGAAGGGCCTTCGTTTTCTTTTGTGAAGGAAAAATGTCTGAGCTTGAGGGAGTGCAGAATTTGTCAGGAAGAAGATGAGGAGAAGGACATGGAGGCCCCTTGTTCTTGTAATGGCACTCTCAAGGTTTACACTCTTTTCTTTTTTAATTTTTTTTTTTCAATTTTAGTTTAATTTTTGCCTAAATTCATGTTCTTGAATGTGCCCTGATTATAGTTCTTGGTTTTTTGCTTACTAATTTTATGACTGTTGTGTGCTTTTTGTTGGTGGCACAGAAAAAAAAAAAAAAAAAAATCCTTTCTTGTTAGGTTTTCTCTTTTATGGGACTTTGGGTGTTCAGCGCCTTTTGTGTTTGCTTTTCATTTTCCTTTCTGTGGTTTCTACTGAGTTGGGAAATACTGCAATCCCGTTACGGAACTATTCCGTGGGAATTTTATATCATGTAGTTAGTATAGGATAGATTGATTCAACGGTTAAAACTACCAACGGAATGGTTCCGTGACGAAACCGTAGCATTTTCCTCTACTGAGATATGATTCGTTTTTTTTTTTCTTTGTTTCCTTCATTTTGTGGTTGTGATGATAAACTCTGCAAGTGGATTTGGTTGTATTTTGATTTAATTTGAATTGACTTGGGATTTTCTTGTGTTCAATCATTAATTTAAAAATTTATTACGGTTTTGAATTTTGAATTATGGGCCGTTGGCATTTATTAGTTTGATAACCTCTCTAGGATTCCTTGCCTAAAAATGTATTAATCTCCTGTCATTTTTGAATTTTTTTTATTCCTTCATTTGGCACGAGAATATTAATGAATGTATTTATATAAGTCCAGTGGTATTCGTATTTTTTCAACTTTTATTATATGATTCGTATTTTTGCTTGGACTTTGAATCATTGTATGTAATGTAGTACATGTACATGTGAACTGCCTTTTCTTGTCTAAGCAAAAAGGATTTAAAAAAAAAATGGAAATAGAACAATCTGCAATCCTTGTAGAATTCAAAGAATTTTGTGATAAGGAGCTTTCAAGAGCATATATATATATTTTGATTAATTTATGGGAAATGCTACGGTCCCCTTACGGAACTATTCTGTCGGGGTTTGTAACCGTTAGATCATCATGTAACCATCAGGGATAGTTTGATCTAACGGTTACAAATCCTGACGGAATGGTTCCATTCCCTGTAATTTAGTTTTGTGAGCTCTTTTTTATTCAGTAACTGAACAAATTTCATTTTTCTGCTAATACAATCATTCATTTGAAAAGAAAAAAAAAGTTCGGTGAGCAGCCGATTCTTTCTTTTAGTTTAGTCAAAGTGATAATTAGCCTCAAGACTTGTTTGTTTACTACTCAGTCTTCATTATATGTCTTGAGTTTCACACTGATTAAGAAAATTATTTTTTTTTTATTTTTCATAAATTTTACTTACGGAAGTTCAATAAAACCATTTGACTCTCTAATCAACTAAAACCGTGTAATGTATCTTTTATATTGATTAACATCAATAATCTATCTTTCATATAACAGTTAGGCAGCCAAACTATTTCAGCAAATGTATGTACATACTTCCATATTTGAATGTCATATAGAAAAAAAAATATGACATTTAATAGTGTATGCATCAGATTTTGGGGAGAAAGTAAAATTAGGCAATCCAACCAGTAGCATTTGTTATATAATTAATTCGCTTTCATTTTCCAAAAGCGACATATAAAAAACCGAATTTATTTTGGATGTATGATTTCTTAATTTTTGTTTCTTTTGTTCTAGTCCTTATTTACAACTTACATTTTTGCTGAGCGGGATGTATAACATCTTTCCGAATTTTTTCCATTTGAAAAACCGTTGCTCGTATGTTTTGGTAATAAGCTATTTGTAGAATCTCGAAAAACTGATTTAGTTTCGAACTCCTTTGGTTGTGTAATGTAGTTTGCTCATAGGAAGTGCATTCAGAGATGGTGCAACAAAAAAGGCGATATCACCTGTGAAATATGCAATCAGGTCACAATCTTGTGTTTGCCTTTACCCTTTTGAACAGAACACCACTAAAAAAAGAATTGTATTAGATTCAATTTATATTCCCTATATAGCTGTAATTCTTGTTCTCTCTTGTAAACAGGTTTTCTCACCAAATTATAGCAGTCCACCACCGAGAAGCAATGCTGATGTTATGGCTATTGATATTAGGTAATTTTTTAGATAGTTTAATCATGCATAACTATTACTGCACTTAATCATTAATCTATGATTTTTTTTTTTTAGTTTTACTTATCATGTCTTACGGAATGTTGTGTGTATATTTTTCATGCTTAGGACTTAGGTTAGGTGGGTTCATTGCATTTAGTTTGCCTTTCGATTTGTGTAGGCACACGATTCGATTCTTCAATTTTCTTTTGCAAAGAATTAGCATATGAAGTTTTAGGTCGTAATGGTGATGTTTAGGATCCAACCATTTAAATGAATATCATAAAGTTTTACCTAAACCTTTTGTTATTTTTTTTTTTACTCTTTATCTTTGTTTCATTTCTTGGTGCATTTTGTCGTGTTTCGTTTTATTTTCTGGTTCTTTCTGAGGTTTGGATAATGAATCTTTTTGTGATGAAATTTTGAATGGTAATCCATTGTGCACCACAGTGTTTTAAATAGCGCAATTTCGCGCGCTACGTAGCGCGCTATAGCGCATTTTCACCAAAAAACGCGACATAGCGTATATAATTTCGCGCAGTTCCATGCTATATTTTGCGTTATTTACGCAATTTACGCTATATTTTGCGCTATTTGCGCTATTTCTCACGCTATTTGGGCAATCCTTATTTATAGGCAAAAAATAAAAAATAAAATAATAAAAACTAAAAAAAAAACGTAGGGCACAAAATTGAGTAAGCTCTCCTATGGCGAATTTGAGTGATTATTAGATCATGTTTCGTATTTATCTTGAAAAAAAATTTATTTGAAAAATTGATATCAATATAGTTATAATTGACCTTTTGGACTATTAGAATAATGTGATGTTTATGTTTCTTAAGCTCAAAAGTGAAATGGGATGAACACTTCATTGTTTCTCCAAATTATGAGGAGATGCAAGAATTTGGTGAAATTGTACAAATTATTTTTTATAGTGAAATTATCCATAACTTTGATAGAATTGACGATGATAGCTAAATTCAATTGGATAACACCGATCATTTTAAGATTTTGAGTCTCTGCTTTAAACATTAAGACTTTGGTTTGGTTGTTTGAAGAATTAATATATGAATGTCATTTTTTATATTCAATGCCCAAGTTAATTTATGGTTTAAGACCATTTTAATTATTTGTTCGCTTGTATAATTATATATATTATTTTTGGCATTAAAAGTGAATTGCTCGAATAGCTTACGCAATGCACTACGCTATTTACGCTACGCAATATAAGGACCAAAACGCGACGCAGTGCGCGATGCGCGTTTTAAAACACTGGTGCACCAATAGTGATTTTATAAGACAATAATGTTTACATGTTCTATGTCATTCTTGTTAACTTATTTTCATTAATTTATTTGTAGAAGTCTTCAATTACATGACCTTTCTGTAATATTTCTCTCTTTTTTTTTTTTCTCCTGACAAAATAAATTTGTGAAAATGAATGGCTTGTGTTCTTGTCTCTCAGACAAGCATGGGGCCCACATATTGATCTTCGGGACCCTCGATTCTTGGCTTTTGCGGTGGCCGAACGGCAGTTTCTGCAATCGGCATATGATGACTATGCCTTTGCAAATAGTGGGACTCTTACCTGTTTTCGTACAGTGGCACTCATAGTAAGCAAACCAAAATATATTTTGTATGGCATTTTAGTGTGTTTTCCCATCTATTTTACTGAGAACATGTAAACATTGGGATACATTTTCATGTCTATAGTTGATGCTTCTCTTGCTGATACGTCAAACTCTAATGCTGACGAGAGACTTTGGAATGTTGCGTGAATCATCGGTTTTCTTCAATGTAAGTAGAAATCCACATTTCCTTTGTAAAGCTTAAGTTAATTTTTGTTAAAGGATAATTATAGAAATATCAAAATACTGCTACAATTGCTTAATGTCAGAAATGGCGAGATGACGTAGACACGTTAGCACCTAAATAAACTATCTTTGAGCCGTATTAGATTGAGATTAAGTGAAGCCCAAATATACATGTATTAAGAATTATTTATTTCCATTATGCTGATAATATATTCTGGGTTTTATATTACAGTATCAGATTACCATTCTTCAGCTGGCTGGTTTTCTTCTTCCCTGCTATGTGGTGGCTCGTTCATTTTACATCGTACAATGCCGAAGGAGGAGGCAGGTCTGGTCATGTTTACCAAAAATTCACATCTGCCCACATAATTACACTGTTACGAAATGTCTGTTATATATGTGCCCTTGTCTCTGAACTCTACTTCTATTTCTCTGTTCATCAGGTTTGAGAGCAAGTGACTCCTGTTCAATGGATAGAACTCGAGCTATTAGACTTGTTTACTACAACGAAAAGCTTCAATGTCCGGCTTTCTTATCTCCAACTGAATTTGACACATATTTTAAACCTTTGGTGTTTGAGTTAGCAAGTAGAATTAAGTTATTATTCCTATGATGTTTGTGTTTCAACCCGGTGAGAGACTCAGAAGCAAGTGTAAATGTGAATATTGAGTAGGCCGGGTGTGTTCTATTAACTGTTGTCCTTTTATTTTGGATTAATAAAAGGAAGATGTTGATGGCTTACATCAGCCTTGGCTCTCTCTCTCTCTTTCCCCCACCTCCACCCACCACAAACAACAACGTACATTTTGAATTTGGTTTCATCTAAGTCAATGCCTACTACTCTATTAGAATGTTGGACCGGATTTAAGTCCTGTCTAAGTCACATTCTGATATAGGGTAGTCTAGTACATGTAGAGGTGGCCACAGGCCGCCCGACACGAACTCAGTGTGGTCAAACTCATTGACCCTGGGTTTGGGCCTAGCTCCAGTTTTAATTTGGTCAGGTCAGGGCCATGTTTTTTTCGACCTTGGCCCGACGGTGCCGGCCTGAGAAATAAACATAGTTTTGTATTGTTTATTAATCATTCTTTGGACTGGTCCGCACCTGGCGCGGGCCCAGCCCGGCCCGTTAGGTCACCGACCCTTCACGACCCTAGGTAAGGGACAGCTTTTGAGTATGTGTTTCCCAGCCTAAAGGCACAACCTCTAAGTACAAGTGCAGGTGCCTGCAAGTTGTAACCTCATACCAAAGTACGACTTTTTTGTAGGATACCCTGAAGGAACGAGAGGTTGCTTGTTTTATAATCCGAAAGATCAAAAGGTCATTGTTGTCACGCATGCCTCATTTTCGGAAGACTGTCATGCGCCACAAGTCCAAAAGTAGAGAAATCTAAGAGGAAGTATACAATAGTGAAATTCAAATACAACGTGTGCAAAATGATATACCACAAACAAGTACACCCCGTGTCATGCAAGCTACACTTTTGCCAGTACTACCTCGTCGAAGTGGGAGTGTCATTCGTCAGCCTGACAAATTCATGTTCTTGGGAGAGTCTTTGGACTTGATTTCGGGCGAACAAGAATTGAATCCCTAGACCTACAATGAGGCACTCCAAAACAAGAATGCGGATTCTTGGAAACTAGCAATGAAATATGAGATCGAGTAAAAGAACTGGAACAAAGTCTGGGAACTTGTGGATCTACCAAGCAGTATAAATGCCATTGGGTGTAAATGAGTCTACTAGCGTAAGAAAAGATTAGACAGTAAGGTGGAAACCATTAAGGCGAGGCTTGTAGCGAAAGGATACACTCAGAAATAGAGAATCGATTATGACGAGACTTTTTCATCGGCAGCCATGCTTAAGTCTATTCGAATTCTTTTGGCCATTGCTACTTATAGATTACGAGATTTAACAGATGGATGTCAAGGCAACATTCTTTAACGGAAGTCTTGAAGAAAACATCTATATGAGGCAACCCAAGGGTTTAATTGCTAAGGGTCGAGAGCACCTGATTTTTAAGCTGAAGAAGTTTATTTATGAATTAAGCAGGCTTCGAGGTCTTGGAATATTTGATTCGATGAGGTTATCTAGTCTTATGGGTTTACTCAGAGTTCAGATGAGCAATGTGTGTAAAAGAAGTGTGACAGAAACATGGTGGTATTTCTTGTATTGTACGTTGATGACATACTTTTCATTGGCAACAATTTGAAGGTGTTGTTAAAAGTAAATGTATGATTATCATAGCAGTTTGATATGAAGGACTTAGGAGAAGCAACACATATTCTTGGGATCAAAGTTATGAGGGACAACAAGAAATGGATGCTCTGCTTATCCTAGTCTTCGTACATAGATATTTTCCTGACATGTTGTTGACGATTGTTATTATTAGCCTTTCCCCCAGTAGGTTCTTGCCTTGTCGGTGCGACTCTCAATGGATCTTCAGGGGACTCTGAGGACTCACGGTTTTCAACAGTGCTTCAGCCCTAGGGTGAAGACCCATGTTGGAGCTTTCTGTGGTCCTTTCCCTTCTCCAAACTCGAACTATGCACTCTGATCCTAAGATGAGAGTCGTTAACCACTGAAGGCCGGCACCCCGACAAAGCAAAAACCTACCGGGGCAAAGGGTGATGATAATAATCTTCAACACATGTTTTAGCATACAAAATTCCAAGAAAGGATTTGTGTCCTAAGACACAACAAGAGAGAGAGGACATGAAGGCGGTTTTCTACACATCTGTTGTGGGAAGCCTTGTTATGCTATGCTATGAATGCCGCCAGATATCTTCTTTGCCATAGGCATGGGCAAGAGATATAAGAGTAACCCTGGATAGGCACTTTGGTCTGCATTGAAGAATATAATCAAATCTACCCACCTTGCTAATGCTAAAAAAACATTTTACACCCGTAAAATGATAATGAAAGAAATGCCACCTGCGAAGGACTAAGGATTATATGCTATTATATTGGGCAGACAACTTGGAGCTTGTTGGATACATGGATTTTGATTTATAGTCAGAGAGTGATAAAAGTAAATCTACCTCAGGTTTTGTGTTTACCTTGGGAGGTGGAGCCATAGTTTGACGGTGTGTCAAGAAAAAAAAATGTGGCAGACTCCACCATGGAAGCCAAGTATGTTGCAACCTCTGAAGCAGCAAAGGAAGCGATATGTCTCAGAAACTTCTTGATGGGCTTGTATGTGATTTCGAGTTTGCCCACGACTTGTTGGACTTGTATGCTGAGAAAGAAGTCATGATCAGTATTGTACTTGGAGCTTTACCTATTTTTTCCATGTCTTGTTTCTTCTTGCCAAAAGAAATTCGTAGGGTTATTGCAAGGCTGACAACTGGATTTGGTGGGTCAAATGGGACCAGCAGACTGGTGTCCATTGGAAAGAATGGAAGATGGTGATTATGCTTAAGAAGGTTGGGGGACTAGGTTTCAAAGACCTGCTACTCTTTAATGAGGCTCTCATTTTGAAGCATATTTGGAGGCTTAGTTTATCACCCAAATCTTCTAGTCACTATGATCCTCAAAGGGAAGTATTTTGTTGATTGTTGCTGCAAACTAAAAAGCCATATAACGCATCATGGTTGTGGACTAATTGGTTGAAGGTTAGAGATAAATTTAAACAGTGTTTCCAGATAGAAGTGAGAAATGAGAGACATACAAATATCTGGAATGACCCATGGATTCCAAATGTTGTTGATGGACTACCTGAGAGGACTGATATGGGAACTGAAATAATGCAGTGGGTGGAGGAGCTAATAGGTGAAGATGGGAGGAGTTGGAATCTTAGTCTTCTTAATGATTTAATGCAGCAGATAGGGAGGCTATAAGGAAAATCAACACTCTGAACCCTCAACTTTCTGATAAATTGATCTGGACATTGAATAGAAAGGGTAAGTTTTATGTGGCTTGTTCATATTCTGATATGGTGATTAACATAGCAAATCTATCGTATATAGCTGAGAGTAATGAGTCTGCCAAAGTAGATAGGAGAATAAGGAAAAGGAGTTGGAATCTAAAAAATAAGGATAAATTGAAACATTTTCTTTGGAAATGTTATACTAACAGTTTGACTGTGAACTTGAATTTGAAGAGGAGGGATTTGGAGGTGGGATCTTTTGTGTCAGTGTTGTGGGAAGGAAATGGAGTTTGTGGAACATGCATTCATGCATTGTACTAGAGATCAAAGAATTTGGAAGTTAGCACCTGTGAGCTGGGAGGAATTATCTGTTACAGGCTCTTTTAAAAATTGGTGGTGGAGGATTTGTTCTATGGACATGAGAAAGATTTCAGAGGCTAGGATTGAATGAACTACTTATTTTTGTGGTGACTATGGAAATCCAGGAACCTTTGGAAATTTCAAAACACTTGGATTCCAGATTATGAAGTTACCAAAGCAGCTCAAGGGGATTGGCATGAATTAAACTAATGCAGAAGACTAGAAGATCACTTATGAGGAAGAAGGTGATGGCTAGGTCCTTTGGTTCAGTAGTGTCATTTTCTTTGTGACTTCTATTTTCTTCAAGTAAGATTATCTGTGTTAGTGGTTTAATATAACACATATATAAACCTATATAGGACTAACCTTTATGTAGTGGAAGCGAAAACTTGCCCGTATCGTTTATTCGACGGCTACTAGAGTCGTCGGTATCCTCTACGTTATAAAACCCGAGCCGCCTTGTGATGGTTTCGGCTCAGCAAGAGAAAAGCACTATATAAAGATAATTGTATATTTTCCTAGTTTATTTCTTTGTCTCGTATTGTTCTTCATGATGCACAAAACATCATATTTATACTTGTCTTCATGGAACTTAAATTAAATGAAGACTTTAAACACACTTCTCATAACTCCATACTTAATGGAAATGAAGTTGTAACACCACAACCTTTAAGTGGATGTTACCAATTGATGCAACATAACATCAACTAAATACAATAATCTGCTTTGGTGTGATTGTTGTTTGTTGAGTGTTTGTAGCTGCTAAAGAGGTCAAATTTTTCTGTCTTTAGTTAGCTGGTTTTCACTTTGATTATTGGTGGGATTGTTTGTTGTGGTGTCTAAACCATCTGTGGGATAGTTTCTTATGTATTTGAACTTTCATGGGGCTAGTTAGCCTCACGGCATGTATCATGGTTTGGCTTCGAGCCAATAAAGACTAAGAAGGTTGACTCAATTTTCTACGAGTAATCATTTTTTAAATAAGGGCCGAACTTTTTGGGGGTAAAGGAGGGATTGCTGGTGAAATAAAAATCTATCGTTTTTGGAAAAATTGTTGGGTTCGCCTGTACCGTACGAGCTATATGCAGCGGAATTTAAAAATTTTTAA